TTATTCCTCTATTCTATCAGTGACAGATATTTGGGTTGTTTCCAGTCATTTGCTATTGTAAACATTCTGCCATGAACATCCTTAGACCTATTTGCTGGTGCATATATACAAGAATTCTACTAGGGTATATTTTAGGGTTAACTTTTCTGGGTCATAGGATATGCACATCTTTAAATTTACCAGGTAATGCCGAATTCTTTTCCTAGCAGCCACACCATTAGCAGGGTGTCAGTGCCCTGGTTACCTTGTGTCCTCACCAACATTTGCCATTATCAGATTTGAAAACTTTAGGCATGTTTGTAGGTATAAATAACTGCAGCTGCACTTTTACATCTACAAATAGAAATAAATAATCCTACCCTCGTCAATTCTGCAACTTAGCATAAGAACTAAAGTTAATAAAGGGAAAAATGATGTGAAAATATTTTGTAAATTGCAAAGTTTTCCACATACTTAAGATGCTGTCATTTAATAAATAAAGAGGACCTCAAAGCATCAATGGACAATGTTAGAGTACAACTTCAGACCCTTCCCTATAGAGTTGAATGATTTCCAAACACAGAGTATGCACGACTGCCCAGGCTGAGGAAGGGTACCCGGTGTGAGACAGTGCCAACAGCCTCAACCTGTCTTCTAACTGGCAAACATTTGGAGCAGGGCTGCTGCTGCAGAACTGAGGTCAAGACCAAGTGAATGAAGAAGCAATGATTCTGGAGCAATGTCCTTGTCTTTGTGGGGCAGCCAGAAAACTATTGAAAAAATAAGCAGAACTGCATTTCAGGAATTTGATTGCAAATATTTTAGAAATGTATATGTGGTGTCCAAATAATCTCCGGTATGCCTTTGACATGAAGGAACTTAAATCTAAGTTATGACTGCTAACTCGACCATTTTCCACAAATTTTTACTCTATTTTTCTATTCTTTTCTTCTTCTCCTCTAACTCTTTAGTTGACATCAGGACAGGCCCTTCCTCCATCCTTTGTGTTCTTGATCTGACAATCTACAGACCTGAACATTCTGCAAATGCAGAAGGTGATTTTGCATTTTTAGCACTTTTGCAAATCATCTGGGCTTGAATGGTGGGACTTTTGCCTAATAATTCTCACTTGGTTTAAATCGCCCCTGGGTGTGAAGCTGCAACGCTGCTTTCAGGAGTTGAAGAGCTCCTAGACAGCCTGAACTGATGACTAAGCCTTTAGCTGTACCCAGGAAGGCAAGATAAGGGCTTTGTTCAGGTCTCTGCTACTGGCTACCGTCCAGACAGCCAGACAACCGTGTTTTACGGAAGAGCTCAAAGTACTGGGAGACTGAATGCCCACAAAATGTGAATTCGTGTGTGTGTGTGTGTGTGTGTGTGTGTGTGCACGCGTGCACACACAGAGTAAAGTTAACCAAACCAGCAAAAGTCAGCACTTCCTGAAAACACATGAATTGGGCCTCTGAAACGCTGTGTGCCTTGGTGTGTGCAAACAGCGTGTGTTACCTGGGGAGAGAAGGGGCGTGGCCATCCGGAAGTTGTAAGATCTGAACTGGTGACTTTTCTTGATCCTCCCAGCAAGCAGCACCCATTATCTAGGAATGTCCCAGATAAACGTACTGAGCATCTACTAGGTGTCAGGCACAGTGCTGAGTGCTGGGGGTAAAGCAGTGAAACAAAATGACATGGTTCCTGCCTTCCTGTAGCATACAGTCCAGTGGGAGAGACAGAAAATGAACAAATAGACACGCCATTAAACATGTGCTCCAGTACTTCAGTGGAACAGGATGCTTTATGAGATTGACAGGTGGCAAACGAGGACTTCGTAGGCTGAGGTGAGAAGCTCAAATTTCATTCAAAGTGGGAAGCCGTAGAAAGTCTTTCAATAGGAAAGAACATGATCTAATTGATGAAACAAGGGAGATTATTCTTCGCTGCCTGGGGGCACAGGGGCTAGAGTGAAGGCTGGAGCCCAGTAGGGGCCGCTGACCGGGCAAGGGGTCATGGGGACCTTGGTTGGTGTGCCTGCAATGGGCACGGAGAGCAGGGCGCAGGTGCACCTCGCAAGCCAGGCGTCTCTGGTGAAGCAGAAGCACGCTCTGCGTGCGTGTGGGGTGCCGCAGAGAATCGGCTCGTGGAGCTGGGATGATGGAGGCTGAGTTGCCCCACAATCTGCCTCCCTTGAGCCCGAGACCCAGGGCAGCTGAAGGTCGGTTCCGGTACGAGTCTGAAGGCCTAAAATGCCATCCCCTTGGCCGAGAGCGGTCCATTCAGTTAGCCATCGGCTTAGGATTTTATTTTTAGTTCACATTCTGAACTAATGTCAAGGCAGAAAAGAGCCAACAGAGGAGTGAAGAGATACGGAGAAGACGGGTTGGCCAGTGGCTACAGAGGAAGCCAGAGGAGTCCAGGTTGGTGCTTGGACGCCTGGTGTGCTGAGGGGCCGGTCCTCATCGCGTTACTTTTGTAGTGCAAAGCAAGGAGACCCCTTGAGGAATCGACAGCTTCCAACCACTGGGTTCCAATTTTTCTACCTAGAAAGGGATTCTCCCCTGTGTGTCCCTGGTCATACAACTAGTGACAGGATAGGGACACTCTGCCTGGCTTTCCGTAATCAAAGTCATTTTCGTTCTGATCCCACGATGCTTGCAGCTCCACCTCCCGACTTCCCCACCAGACCCCAGTGTCGGGGCGTTCACCCCTCTAGACATCTCCGTGTCCTTGGCCACGCCATGTCCTCTGCCGCCTCTGGTTTTCAGCTTATCTCCTTCCCAGTCCTGCTGTAAAACCTGCTCAAATTCCATTCCTCTAAGAAATCTTTCTGCCCCAATCTCAGAATTATTTTCTCCTTCCTCTGCTCTCTCCTAGATTTTGCAAATGTCTCCCTTGGTAACTAAGAGGAGAAATTTTTCACTTTTCATCTCTGTATTTGTCGAGTTCATAGTAAGTTCATAAATATGGAAGAAATGAACAAATAAATGTCCACCATGCCTAAATGAGTCCTTGTCTTCACTGGTTTGCTTCTACTACCTAGAAATAGCCAAGGGTTGGTGGAGCCATGACACGACTCTGGCCCTTGCCCCTTTGTCTGGAATCCCTTTGGCACCACTTACTGGCTGTCTGGGGAAGTCACTTCCCCTTTGAAGCGGAGAGTTTCCTCCACTGTAAACCATGCTGCTACCCCCATCCCACAAGGTCACTGGGAAGGTCAGTGGGCTAGCGTGTGCCGTGTGCCGGGCACCGCGCCTCTGTGTTTATGTGGCAGGAAGTGGTAGATGGTGAGGGTGGTAAAAAGAGACAGTCTGTTGCATAGCTCTCCCCTGAGAAGGGGCTATTTCTTTAAAAAGTAATTGTTGTGGGTTAAACTGTGTCTCTCAAAAAGATATGTTGAGTCTTAACACTTTGTACCTGTGAACGTGCCCGTGTTTGGAGAGAGGATTTTTACACATGGTATCAAATTAGGATGAGATCATATTAGATTAGAAAAGGGGCCCTAATCCAGTAATTGGTGTCCTTATAAGAAGAGAAAATTTTGGACACAGACACATGGAAAGCACCGTATGCTGATGGGGACAGAACGATTTCTGTGAACTTAGCAACGTGTCTGAAAGCAGAGGAACGCGAGGGTGGCGGGACACCCAAGGCTGGGAAGACACGAGAAGAGCCCGTCCCAGAGCGTCTGGGGGCCTGATGCCAGCCCCTGGCCTCCAGAACTGTGGGACAATACGCTTTCCTTCTCGCAGCCAGTTTGTGGCGCCTCGCTACAGTGAAGCTGATACAGTGATTCTGTGGACCTGTGTTCTAAATAGCAAATAAAAACTCAATAAATCATTCTCATGAGTCATCTGAGAAGTCAGAGGCATCTAAGATCAAGGGGGAAGGCCTGGCTGGTGTGTGCAGAAGGGAGGGAAAGCAACAGAAAGGGCCCCGACATAACATGTGGGATGCAGCAAATTAACATTTGAGATATTATTCAACAACGCAGCTACTTAACTGAAATTTTATTGTTGAGTCCATCAGTTAATTAAACAAGCACGTTTTACCTGCAGGAAACCACGGTGGGTGCACTAGGGACAGCGTGGGCTTTGGAGTGACACAGGTTGGGGCTCAATCTAGGCAAGTTACTTAACCTGTGTGAGCCTGAGCCTCCTCATGCCCATCTGGGCTTCGCAGTGTGGTGTCAACGAGCTGACACATGTGACAAGGGCAGAGCACAGCGCAGACCGCGGGCATGATGCAGTCTGCCCAGCACCTGTCCCCCAAAGGCACGGGCTGTCCCCGCTGTACGTCAGAGCATCTGCAACACTTGAAGAGCAGACTCACACAGGTGGATGAAGCAGACCCAGAGATACCTGAGCTTGACAGACAGGAGGAGAAAGATGCATCACGCTTAGAGCAGAAGCTCTTGGAAGCGTGGAATAATCCCCCACATCCGTGTCAGGCGGACATAGCAGGACACGTGTTGCTTGCTGTGAAGATATTCTTTATTTGATTTTCAGCACTTTCAGAGAAAGAGCGGTCCTGTCAGCACTACATGTAACCTTGCATATACATCTCAAAAACAGTAATATTTTTTTAAAATGAAAGAAAGTGAGGAAAGTTTGTTGGGAGAAGGGATAATAGAAGCTTAGTCAAGGGGAAGCAGGTTCTTATCAAAAAAAGAAAAAAGGTACTATTATTTGATGAAACTAGTAATAAAAACACACTATCTTGTTTGTTCTCGAGCTAGTTGTTTATAAAGAGAAGCTGCTTAGCCCTTTTCTTCCTGGTGACTAAACGGACATGCTTGTGTCTCCCACCACCCCGCAACACACCATGTGAGAGACAGAGAAGCGAGCAGCCGACTCCCCACCGGCAGGGGCGTGCTGGCTCGGAGCCCAGCCTGCGTTCCAGGGGCGGGCAGGCGCGGGACAGTGTCAGATGCCAGGCCAGGCGTCCTCAAACTACGGCCCGACAGCCACCTGCAGGTGTTTTTGCCCATTTGTTTCTTTGCTTCAAAACAAGATGTGTGCAGTGTGCATAGGAATTTCTTTATAGTTTTTTTTAACTATAGTCCGGCCCTCCAACGGTCTGAGGGACAGTGAACTGGCCCCCGTTTAAAAGGTTCGAGGGCCCTGCTGCGGCGACACAGAGACGGGGTGGGGGGCGTCAGCTTGTTGAGTCTGGGCGCTGACGTGACTTGTCCTCTTGTCCCTCTCTGGTCCGGTGGCCTCAGCTCTGATGACCTGGCAGTGCCGTGGTCGCTGGGGCTGGGCGTTCCAAGGCACTGCAGTCATCTGACAGGAATGCCAAGTCCTGGGAAAGACACGCGTGAGCAGGGAAGTTGCCAAAGGCCGCTGTGGCTCCCATATGTAACCACAGGCTTCTTGGTTATCCTCAGGGGCCACCCGACTGTCCCCTTTATGCGAAGACCCCTCATCCCTTACTTCCTAAGGACGTGGGCATCTCGGGTTTCATTAGCAGTGTTAGTAGTGTTATTTACTGGATCCACTCATATACTGGTGGACCAGATAGACAGATGGACGAACGGGTAAAGAAGGGAATGAATGAAGGGATCTTCATTGCCGAGCATCATCTCTGGGCTGGGCATTGGGAGCACCGTGAAGAGCAGGGCCAGCTGTCACCTTCGGGCACCCAGACTCAATGCCACCACATACCAGACTGCCGCAAGCAACTCCAGCAGCTTCCTCCCCTCCCACAGACCAAGGGGGAGGGGCGGGGGCAGAGACCGGGAATGGGGAGGAAACGTATAGCAAAGCTTCGCTACCTGAACAAATAAATGATAGCTTAACATCTAATTATTACAGGCAGGGACTTTCCCTGGGCCAGGCATGGTGCTAGGAGTTCTGTATTTAGTCACGCTGCTAGGCTTCTTAGGATCAAGGCAGTAGTACAGTGTACTCACTATCATAATTCTCCAGTGATCTCATGAGATGGGCACCACTGTGTCCCCTGTTCAGGAGCATGGAAACTGCCACAGAGGGGCGAAAGGGCACTGCTATGGTTTGGATATGTCCCCCAAGAGTTCACGTGTTGGAAACCTAAACCCTCTGCCTTCATGAATGAGCACAGGATCTGCCTCAGTGAATGGATTAATGGATTAATGGATTTAATGGATTAAGAGGTCTCTGCTCCTAGGACCGGAGTGGCTCTCACGGCGGGGTGCTCTGACACGAAGCCAGTGCTCTCCGGCCCTCTCGCTCTCACCTCTCCCCATGTTAGGGTGACGCCGGCGCCAGTGCCAGCTCAGACTTCCCAGCCTCCAGAACCACAAGTTAAATAAACAACTTCTTCTTCTTTTAAGTAAATTACCCAGTCTGTGGTATTATGTTACAGCAGCAGAAAACTGACAAGGACGAGTGTTGCCACCTGGGAAGCAGGGAGACGGGCACAGGCTCGGGCTGTCCGATGCTGAAGGTGTGCCCCAGGGTCACAGAGCTCTCCTCCCACGTCTCAACGGCTGCTGAGTTTCTGTCCCTTTCCCTTCCCCACCAGAATCCTGTCACAGAGGGTACCACCCCCACCCCTGCAGAACGTGTCTTCTGACCTGCCCCAGCTGGCTCCCGGTAGACTGCCTGCGTGGCTGGGTGCAGTCTGTAGTCGGGCCTAGCCCCAGCCTCAGCGTGCAGCTCGTGGAGGCACGGGGCCTGGTCCTGAGCCTCATCTCCTGACAAGGCCACCGTGGCTGGAAAGAGCTTTGTGAACTGGAAGCACCCCTCAACATTTCTGCTTCTCTTCCTCCTTCCTCTCTCCTTCCAACCCTCCTCTCTGAAGAGCTCAGGAAGACTTGGCTGATAGCAAGTAGAAAGGGAATCTAAACAGTGTCGACTTACTCTCCTGCAGTACAAGTTCATGATGGTGTACAGCTTCCGCACTTTGTCCTTCAAGGCGTCGACCTGGGCCATTCTCCAGCACTGGGGTGAGGCCACAAAGTCCCGCAGCTTGGCCAGCACGCAGTAATTCTGGGAGTGGGCAATGGGGAGGGAGTGGGCAATGGGGAGGGCGCTCATGGGAGAAGTCGGTAGCTGGGCTGCATGGGGTCTCTCCCACCCCATGCCATGCACCCCACCCCCACCCCTACCCACAGCCCTCTTACGTGTATATCCAGGTACAGCTTGGGCAGGTATCTCACACACGTGTCCTGTGGAAAGGGACACAGGCTGGTGGGATGCCTGCAGGGACACACTTGGACACAGAAGGCTCCTTGCTGGCCGTTGTGACAGCCGGACCAGCCCGGATTCTTGGGGCCTTTCTTGATGCTACGATATGCACAGCAGTTTCTTGTCCCCAGTGTCACGTTCCACCAAAATGAGCAACTGCTATTCCAGAATTCGACTTTTAGATCACACCTTTATGGTACTTACTATGAATTGGGAAATTGTTTTATACACACACACACATGCACATACACACATATACATATGTGTGTACATATTAAATATGTATACATATTAAATATTACACATGTTACATATGTGTAATATGTATACATATTAAAGTTATATAATTGTAATATAGAAATACTAATATATAATATGCTAATATAAAAGTGTATGTATACAGTATATATGCACATACATAAAACAGTTCCATAACTAGTTCTGTAACTCTATATGGTTATGGATATTACATGTAATTATAAGTAAATAAGTATGCATTATGTGTAATTATATATATTAGTTATTAGCAATTCTACAACTGTAATACATGTATGGTAATATACAGTATATAATATATTAATGGTAACATAAAAGTGCATATATATGCATACTTTAAAGCATATATATGATAACTTGTGGTGCAACTATATAACAATGTTGTTAAAAAAGAATATCATTTAAAGATGTCATTAAAAAGTAAGTTGCAAAATTGTGCTGTTTGATCCAAATTTTGCTTACACACATACACATACGTATGTACTTGAGTACATATGTCTAGACAGAAAGCTAACACACTCTTACAGATGTTATAGCAACAGTTACCTCTGGGTGCTAGAATTACAAGCAATATTTATTTTCTTCTTTCTCTTCTGTACATTTTCCAACCATTCTACAAAGTAATTACTTTTATAATTAGAAAGAAAACATGTTATTTAACCTTTAAAAAGCAAACATAAAGAAGGGGTTAGGATACTGTAAACCCTAACATCTGAGAAACATTATGCTTCGTTTGAAGCATTTGCAAGTGGTTAAGAGACAGTTTTAAAGCTTTGCGTGACGTTTGCTGCATTTTGTTTCTGCGGATAAGCAGTTAGAAAACCTAGTCTGGCGGCTGGGATGGCCCTCTGCAGCCTGCCCTCTGCAGCCTGCCCTCTGCAGCCTGCCCTCTGCAGCTCCCCTCTGCAGCCTCCCCTCTGCAGCCTGCCCTCTGCAGCCTCCCCTCTGCAGCCTGCCCTCTGCAGCTTCCCCTCTGCAGCCTGCCCTCTGCAGCCTCCCCTCTGCAGCCTGCCCTCTGCAGCCTGCCCTCTGCAGCCTCCCCTCTGCAGCTCCCCTCTGCAGCCTGCCCTCTGCAGCCTCCCCTCTGCAGCCTTCCCTCTCTGTCCCGGCCTGCCTCTCGTGGCAGCACCACAGCCGCACCTGCGCTCAGGCCGTTGACCCCCAGAGCCACCCTGTGGGAAGAGGGTACTGCTGTCACCCCGGTTTACACACAAGGAAGCTGAGCTACAGAAGGATTTGCAGGTGGGCAGGGGCAGCTCCCTGAGCCACCCTTTTAGAGAATACTCCTCATCACCAGGCTAATGAAGGCTAACAAGGGAAATAAATAGGCTTAATTCTTTGGTCCTCCTTAACTCTGAAGCTCTAGACTCTGGACGAAGCTGTTATTTTCCGCTTGCTTTTTTTTACATTTCACAATATATCCACTGATATTTGCTAGTAAGTTACACAAATCGTGATGCCTTTGATTACTTTTCCTTATATTTAAAAAGAAAGTAAGCTATTGGCATTGTATTTAACAGGAGGCGAATAAGGCACAAATTCCCTTGACAGTAACATTTACTAGAGAGGGAAAAGCCTTTTTCTCTTCTCTTTTTCTGGCTCTCAAAGCAGGTTTTTGAGAACTGGGTCTGCCCTGCACCCCGCGTCCGGGTGGGCGGGACACTTACCAGGGGCTCCGCTGCCTGCAGGCTCTGGAAGTCACCGGAGACCTCCCGGCTCAGGGACAGCATCCTGGAGTAGCAGGTCGGGGGCGCGGGCCGCGCGGGGGGCCCGGCCAGCAGCAGCAGCAGCAGCGGCAGCCGCAGCGGCCAGCCCGCGCTCATGGTGCCGGCGCCACGCAGCCCGCCCGCCCCTTTAAGCGGCGGCTGGGCTGGGCCGGCGGCTCCACGCCCGTTTCCTGCGGGGCCCAGCCGGGGCGGCGGGAGGGGGTGCCCGCCGGCCAGGGCGCTGCCCTGCCCACCTGCGGAGAGGAGGCGCCTCCAGGGCCGGTGACCCTGCCCCCGCTCGCGGCAGGGGCTTCTCCTGAAGTGGAGAGGGCGGGCTGGGCGGGCAGGCCCCAGAGGAGTGGGCCAGTCTGTCAACCTGGAGCCGAACTGGGGATGGAAAGGGCCCAGACTCGAGGCTGAGCACCAGCCCTGGGGGGCCCAGGGGAGCAGTGATGCTGGCTGGGGTCAGCAGCCCGAGCCAGCGCCCATCAGGCCGGGAGCTGCGGCAGGGGGCAGGGCTGTCGCTCGCCTCTGAGCCCTGCCTGTCTCTCGGTGGGTCGGGGACAGGACTGCGGCAGCCTGGGGCGTGGGGCGACTGCCCTGCTCTCCCACCCCACCCCAGCTGCAGCACGCGGAGAGCGCGCCCTCCGGAGGGCTGGGCCCGAGACAGCGCCAGGGGAAGGGGCAGGCTCTCCACGTGGATGCGCTGAGGGCAAAGCAAGGCCTCTCATTCTGGCTTTGACCATGGGGGACTGTGTTTCCTGACTCTGCTGCCATGTGAGATGGGGATCGGAGTCCCTACCTTAAGTCAGAACACCGCGAGGAACAGTCAGTGAGACACTGCATGACCGACCGAAGCTCATGCCAGGCACGTGGTGACTTGCCAAGCAGCTGAGCTAGTATTACTGTTCCTGTTAAATCTTGCAAGTGTCCCTGAGAGGTAGGTGCCACAGAAAAAACTCTCATTTCCCAGGTGGGAAGACTGAGGCTCAGGGAGTTCCAGCAACTTGCTGGAGGTCACCAGGCTGGAGGTGCACAGGTCCAGACGGACTCCGTGCCCTGTCCTCCTTCCATCCATCTGCCCACCCTGTGGAAGGGGGGACTCTTGCCGTCAGGGATGAGCTTGGGTACTTGAGCTGCCCAAGATCAGGGAACCAGCAGGGAGGAGGAGCTGTCGGAGCGAAGACTCTTCCTTAACACTGAGCGTGATGCATACACCAGCAGCCACTAGGCCAGCCGCTGTCGCCAATGCTGTGAGCCTCACAGACAGCCAGTGAAGGGAATGGGGTTATTTCCATTTCCCAGGTGAGGAAACTGAGTCTCTGGGGACATGAAGCTGGGGGGATCGGAACTCTATCCTGTGTCCGGACCTGCCTGTCTCCACACCTCCCGCTGCAGGAGGGCCGCGCAGGGCCCAGGCAGGCTGCATATTCCCAAACAAAACAGCCAAAGACGAAGCCTGAAGGAAGAGTGAACCCAAGCATGGTGTCCTGGACATGGGCAGGACTGAGGATCAACCGCAGCCTGAAATCTGGCTCCAGCCTGTCCCCACTGTATTGCCGTGAGAAATTTCTTCCCGACGCTGGCGACATTCCGTGTCTGTAAACAGGCTAGCATCACCCTGGGCAATGTCTGAGGTCCCTTCCAGTCCTGAATTCTATTTATCTAGTTTCTGGTGTTAAAAGCCCTGCGCAGGGACCCCAGGCTGCGCCTTTGTGTTTTGTAGGTAAGAGTGTGTGCTCTAAACACCTTAGCAAGATGACCAAGGGACTGTGTGCCAGGAACTTCACAGGCAGGGCAGAGCTCTGTGTGCTTGGAGGTAGCAAGCAGAAGCACAAATGTGCTTTTCTTTGCGATGGAGGAGTCTGCACTCCTTCCCTGGTGGAGGATGCATGGCGTCCCTGGCAGATGAGCTGGCCTCACCTGGGACCTCCAGGTCTGCTTTGAAATGCTCTAGGGCTCCTGGATGTGTTCTTCAAATGGGCTTTGGGTCCAGGACAGGAAAGAAAAACAAGCCCATGTGCCACACAAGTGCTTCCACCATTTGGACCAAGGAGGCATCACTGTGCTGGAAAACAGTTGTCTGCCCGTCTGAAGTGGACATTAATGTGTTGCTGGGAGATGTGACGTTGTTCTGCCCAGGATACGGTGTGCAGTTACTGGGTGCATCAGATGAGATCAGAGCCTGCCCGGAGGCTTACGGATCTTCATGTTGAGAGTTCATGGTGTATGTTTGCAGAATCAATGAATGAGTGGCTGTAGCCATCAGCGGTCACTGGTACGGTGAGACGAGGTGGTTACTGGGGCCCCAAGGAGTCACTGTCCAGTGGGGAGAAGGAAAGGAACCTGACTGCAGTGCAGACGACCAGATCCAAGGGAAGCAGCACCTGGAGCTTGACAGAGCAGGGAGCAGGATACCAGGAAGTTCCCCAAAGGAGAAGATGCCTTGCGTGGATTCCCTGGGCAGACAATGGGGAAGGGCATCCTGTGCCGAGCCTGTGCCGTGCGGTGTTCATCTTGGGACTCTGTGCAATCTGATCCTCACCGGCTTCGCCTGTGTCCTGAGCACGAGACATGGACTGGGCCACCTGACATCTGTCTCCTTCACGGACTGTGCCCAGGACAGAGAGCTGGTCGTCTTTGTCTCGCTTTGTTAGCACTCACCACCCAGCCCGGCAGAGCGAATGACCAGGCCAGAGTGAAGGCATGGCTAAATTGACTTAGTGGCTATTCTTGCTACTCAGAGATTAAGACACAAGCCCATCAAGAAACCCACACAGTGCAGCACACATTGGCTCCTGGCATGCTGGACACAGGCAGGTCTGGGGAGCCCCTGGTGGAGCCCTGCACGCACACGTGTTCTGTTCCCAAAGGTCTCCTGTACCTCCCACCCCACTCTGCAGCCCCTTCTCTGGCCCCTCCAGTGGCTCCTTCATCAGCCTGCTGCTCCAAATGCTAAAAATGTAGGCATGAATTTTCCCACAAATCAAATAAGGCTTTTGTCTTCCCTCAAAGGTCTCTCCTGGCCCCTTTAGTGTCTTAGACAGGGCATGGACCCCATCGTGGTGGGGCACCCTGTTATGCCAGGAGAGCCGAGCAGTCAGAGCTAACGAGTGGGTGAATGTCTCTCAGTTACACATCAGCCATTGTCTTTGGACAGATCCTTCATTCACTCGCCAGACACATATCTATTTTTTGAGGGTCTCCAGTGTGCCAGGCACTGAGATGGGTGATTAAACAGTAGACGATAGAGATGGCATTGCTGTCCCACAGGGGAGCATGAGTGCGATTAACACACCGGGTAGGTGGTGTGATGGCAAAGTCCTGGTGTTTCCAAAACCCAAAACCTGTCTCTGGCAGCTGCTTCATCTCAGGTGAGACCTGGGAGTGGAGGCATGCAGCGGGGAAGCTGCGTAAACATAAAGGGTGCACGCGACTGCATGTGAAAGAGAGAGAGAGAGAGACTGCAAGATGCCATGCTGCTGGCTTTAAGGATGGAGAATGAGGCCAGCAGCCACGGAATGCAGGAGGCCTCTAGAAGCTGAAAATGCAAAGGAAGATTCTCCCCTAGAGCCTCCAAAAAGGAATGCAGCTCTGCCAGCACCTGGTTGGCCCAGCGAGACCCGAGACTCATGCTGGCTTCTGATCCCCAGAACTGCAGGATCCTGTATTCATGTTGTTTTGAGCCACTCGGTTTATGGAGATTTGTTAACAGCAGCAATAGGAAGCTAATACACCAACCATCTCTCGGGTTCAGCAAAATGACAGAAATTAAGGTTGGAGTAAATCTTAGAAATTATATAGATCAACCTGCCTGATATTTATGCTTCCTTTACAGCCTCCCTGTCAAATGCTCATCCACAGTCTGCTTGTATACCTCCCTGCATGGGGAACTCATTACCCTTTAAGGCTGCCCTCCAGTTTCTGGGAAGTTCTGACTAATGCAAATTCTTCCCAAGGTGAGGTGAGATGTGATGGCATGATTTTGCATGTGTCATCCTTGACCTAAAACTCCTGAACCTTCTTACACAGGACAGCCCTGTGTTGATAGTAAGCCTACTCTCATTCCTCAGTCTGTCTCTCTGTCCTCTCGTCCCAGCCCTCAAAACAGGGTCAACTCTTTCAGAGCAAACATCACCCGTTCTTTGAACCCTTTGTAATGGGAAGTGGCTGCAGGACCCTACAACTGCATCATGACTGATGTCTCTCTGCCCGGAGCCCTTTCTCCCAGTAGCCATTCCTAAAGCAGACATTCAGTTTTGCCACTCCCTGTTTCAGATTCTCCCTTGGCTCCCTGACGCCTAGAAGATAAAGGCTGAGAATTCAGCCTGGTCCCAGCCCAGCTGCCTAACCCCTGTCTTCTAGACCTTTCTTGTACTTTGTACTCAGGTAATAGTGTTGATGATGATGCCAATAGTAAACTCTCAAAGTGCTGCCCTATTCCAAGTCCTTTACAATTATTAATTCATTTATTCTACTACCATCATTTCACAATTGAGGATACTAAGGCACAGACAGGTTCAGTGACTTGCTCCAAATCACACAGCATTAGCAATCCCTAGCCTTTGTACGTGGCTAGGGCAGGCACGTGGCCTTTGACCTGTGCATATGCCAGTCCCTCTTCTTGGAACATCTTGCCCCGACCTAGTTAGTCTTCCTGGTTTGTTCCTTCTCATTCTTCCAGACTGAGCTTTAATGTCACTGCCTCCAGGAACACTACCTTGATCTACAGAGGCTAAATCAGGTCCTCTCCATCCCGATGGGCTCCCAGGTCCCCTGTGCTCTCCTCTGCTCCACCACAGCACTGCCCACTCTGGCCGTTGTCTATTTGCGTGTCTGTCCGTCACAGGCAGAGAAAGTGTCCTCTGTGTTCACAGCAGAGTCCAGGTCCGACACAGCGTGGGGGCTCAGTAAGCGACTCCCTACTGAGTGGGAGTGACCACCCCACATCCACCCTGTTGTGTGTCTGCGTCTCACCCTACGTGGGGCCCAGCCTGAAATGCAGCCCTCCTTGGGGGGTCCGGTCAGAATAAGACTGTCACCTCCTTGTTGGGGTCCTTCCTATGTCAGTTGCATGTTACAGAAAGCCCAGCATGAGATACCAAAGAGTGGATTTT